GCTACGGAAGCCCTCAACAAGCTTATTGTTGACCCTTACATTAAAGAACAAGGCGAGTTTGGCCACTCAAGTGATGGTCGGCGGGCGCAACGCGTCACATAAATATTGTCTGAATTGAATTTAATAATTTTTTGATTTCAATGGAAAGCAATAAATAGTTACTAAGTTAATAGCTTGTGCAGTATCAAAATTGAATGATCGATACATTGTTTGGTCGCATCTAAATCTAAATTGAATGTTAGATTTGCATAAAAAAATCTTAAACCCTTAAATCATCCTATAACAGGATGCCTGCCTTTGTGAAGGAATTTCTAGCTGCCAATTTTTTTTTTTAGGATTGCATCAAGATTTCAGGAAGCTAGATTTTTCCTAGTATCTTGGACCCGTATATAGATTCTGATTTCTAAGTACTTGTTTCTGGGTGCATGAAGTGAGATTAATTTTCATGGTGGCTCCATGTAGCTATGGTTAAAAATGAATTTACTCTATTTTGCGTTTGCCTTATCTTAAGTTTAATTAGTTCATATTTAGCTCAGTAAACTCATGTTGGCTTCTTTAATTATCCCAACAGGGTCAGGGAGCTTGTAATCATTTCCAGTGGTATGATAATGCCATAAAAATTAAGGATTCTGATTGTTTGCTGGAAAAGCTTAATATACCCACCCAGGATAACAAGGATGCTTGCAAAGCCATCAGCAATGTAAAAGCTGAGGATAAGGTTGTTCAATTTTCACCGTTAATACAAGATCAAATGTTCGGGCAAGAACCACAGGCATCAAAAATAGAAAGAGAGCTGAAGGATACCCACAATTATATTGTATGGCTTTGAAGTTTATTTCCTTCGTAATTTTCATAATCTTGAGCATCTGTTTTTTCTGACATATAGATTCCCAATATTTATTCTCCTAGCATATGATATCTCCTTAGTTTAACACTAGTTACATACCCCTTACAATGCAAGGGATGATGAAAAAATATGTACTACTGTGGCAAACTATTATAATAACCTTTATTGAAATAAACATTGAATTTAACACTTGAAGTTGCAGATAACGAAGGGTGAAAAAAATTAGACTAAATGTAGCTTTCAGCTTCTATATTTGCTCTTGTGCAACAAATCTTATTCAAAACCGAGAATAATGAATAATTTGGATTATATATATACATACATTACTATCGATATCACAAAAAATCTCTCTGAACGCAGCAACCTCTCAATGAAGTCCATTGTCACCTCCTCCTACACTCTCTGACAGCATTAGAGGCTGTAGTAACCCTCCTGGTGTCATGGCGAAGTATTTATGCTGCGAGCACACATCACATCTTGCCGCCCGGTCCTCTACATTATGGCGCATCCCCACGTAGTATAATTTTGCGGACAATTGATTGTAGGTTCTCTGAACCTCAGAGTGTCTTGCAACAACTTGGGAATGTACCCCGATGTCCTCGGTAAGACAAATCGCCTCTGATGTAGCAATTGTGGCTTCCTTAGCGTGTAACCGGGATGACTGTCTGGATCCTGCAACAACTTTACTCTTTTCCTCAGACTCTTATCCTGTTCATTTCCTATGTTAGGGCTTCCTAGTCTAGGACCATGTGTATTTATAGAGCTGTCAACTGTGGCTTTTTTGTCCTCGATAGTACATCTACGGCCTTGTTCTCCAGTCCTAGGCGATATTGGATCTCATAGCTTGGATAACCATCTCTGATGCTCCATTGTCACCATTCTCTACTCTAGCAGAAACTTCAGACTCCTTTGGTATGTCCTGACGATAAAGTGTCGCCCCAACAAATAAGTCGCCACTTTTGGATGGTTAAGACATTTGCCATCAACTCCCGCTTATGTACAAACTTGAGCCTCACCCTAATCGTGAGCACCTGTATAAAATAAGCAATGGGCCGATGATTCTGCATGAGTACTTCCCCTAGTTCGTATCCTGATGCATCCATCTCCATCAAAAATGGTCTGCCAATGTCAGGAAGTGCTAATATTGGCACGCCGGTCATTGCTTTCTTCAGCTGCTCGAAGTCCTATGTTACCCCCATTTGAAACTGTCCTTCTTCAGCTACTTCATCAGTGATCATGCTATCGTGTCATACCCTCGTACAAACTTTCAATAGTACCCGGTGAGACCTAATAACTCTCTCAACTCCTTCAGGTTCTTAGGTAAAAACCAATTCAATATAGCCTCAATCTTGGACTGGTTTGTTGCTATCATGGTTTAAAATTGCAGAAATAAGCCTCGAGGCGTTTTTCGTCCGTGAGGCGAGGCGTAAGCCTCGAGGCGGTGTGAGTCTATGATACAATAAAAACATCTAAAAGAGAAGTGAACTTAGTGGAAAACAAAAATATAGATGCAATATATGCTTCTAATAACATAATTCAAAGTACAAAACTATAAATTAAAGTCTATCACTACATGGGTCTTCAATGGAGGCATCTTTATCTTCAATTATATCTATGAATGCCCCTGACCATGTCTCCTAATGCACAAATGCAAAATCAAACAAAAAATCTTAAAAATTTTTAAACCCTAGATTTTCTATAAGTTGAAAAATCATACATTTAATTTAAAAAAAAATCCTAAAATTGGTTGAAAAGTGTCGTAGAGGGCGGCCGGACACAAGAGGCTCACCGGCGTGAGGCGGCGCCGGCAGGAGAGGCGGCAGGAAGGTCGGCCGAGGGAAGCTAGGGCGGTCGTGCAGAGTCTACGAACTGCTTGCGGAGCTCTTCATTCGATTCGGGTAGGCCGGTAGAAGGAAGGAATAAATGGGGTTTTTTATTATGAACTTAAGTGAGTGGGACCAGTTTCATGAGGCGTATGCCTCACCAAGTCCCAAAATTGCTTAAGCAATGAGGCTCTTAGGGGTCAAATTGCGCAGAGGAGTGCCTCTTATTGCACAATTTTAAACTATGACTGCTACCCCTGCTTTGCGCACCACATGTCATAGGTACTCCACCTGTGATTGTGCAAAGAAACATTTCTTCAGGTTGGCATACAACTGGTGCTCCCTTAAAGTTCTCAGTACAATCCTCAGGTGACCCACATGCTCTATCTCCGCATCACTATAGATCAGGATGTCGTCAAAAAATATCAAGGCAAATTTTTTGAGGTATGGTTGAAAAGCCGGTTCATAAGGGACTAAAAAGTGGTTGGAGCGTTGGTAAGGCTGAAAGTCATTGCCAAAATCTTGTAGTGACCCTCATGAGTCCTGAAAGTTGTCTTGTGCACATCCCCGGACTTCATTCTGATTTGGTAGTATCTTGACTTCAGGTCAATCTTCTAGAAGATGACCGCCCCAAACAGCTCATCTAGCAACTCTTCAATCACGGGGATAGGAAACTTGTCCAACACAATTTCCTTGTTTATGACCCTATAATCCACTCAAAACCTCTAACTATCGTCTTTCTTTTTAACTAGTAAAACTGGGTTGGAAAAGGGGATCACACTGGGCCTGATAATCTTGCCAGTAAGGATGTGTCACATGTCCTCTAATCGGTGATTTCACTGCCAAATGGCATCACAGGTAAAAACTTATGATCGGGACCCTCTGACCGGATGGTTTTGTTGTCAAATGACACCATTAAATTACGATCATGGTCAGAGCCTGCATGTTCCCAACATCTTCAAATCATTGAGTAATGAATCAATAGGATATGATCGATATGACACAAAGCACTCCGTTAGCTAAGGTGACTCCAAATTTGTCCCTTTAGATAAATATTAACCCCAGGTCTATAAGGTACCTTTAGACGAAGTAACTCATGATTGTTGATAAGGATCCTTTTGTTAGGTTGGGGCGACTACATTCTCTGACTAAGTAGACTAGGGATCATGATGGCATACGATTTTCAGAAGCTCATAAAAGGCAACATAAGTGTGTGCTCTGAAATCGATGGGTAATATCTTTATGTTGCCTTTTATGGTAGATACCTATGCAGTTGCATAGTGAACCATGAAAAGGCTGATGTTTATAGGAGCATGACAGATATCTATGCAGTCGACATGGTCTCCATACAACTGTAGCCACAAATGAATTTACTCTATTTTTTACTCATCTTTCTTTTTGCTGGCTTCAAATAAGTTCAGTAAAATCATGCTCAGATATTTTATTAACCTGACAGGGTAAGGGAACCTGCAATCACTTCCAGTTGTTTGACAGCACAACAAAAGTCGGCAAAATCGAGCAATCTGATTATTTGCTTTACAAGCCTAATCCACCCATTGACGCCATGGAAGCAGAGGTTACACTTGCTCCAGTTTCTCCCTTACCACTAGATCAAAGAGATGCACTCTTCCAAATTTCTCCTGTTAAAAGGCTCAGTCTAGCCGATGACAGCCCAGATGCTGGCTGCTCGAAGCTCAAGAGATGCTTGAAATTTGGAGGTGAAGGGCATTGGTCGAATGAATTAAGTGCTTCTCTGAATTCTCCTTGTAATAAATGTGGCAGGTTTGGTTACTGGAAGTGCAATTGCCCAGCTTAATTCAGGAGGGTGAGATGCTTAATAGATGTGTGTGTAGTAGTGTACTTGTATGCTTCTGAGCTTTATAAATCTTAACACTAAAACAACGCTTCATGCTATATTTGCTAACTTTGAAACTTGGAGTGTATGAGCTCTTTTCCAAATGCTTTGCCACGCTTAATTTTGGCTTTTCTGTAAGCTTTTCTTCGTATTAATGATGGTAGAAATATGGAGCAACAGCTAAATGCTGGAAAAGCAGTATATAGAGGGGAAGATATCTGTTTTTTTTTTTTTTCTTCTTCTTTCTATTAGCGATTATTTTCTTAATAATGCTGGTAATCATCCTTCTTTTTTGTAATATTTGTGGGATTGGCTATATTAAGCTTCTGTTAAGTCGAGATATCCTTCTAAGTTGTGGCAACTTTCCTTTCCATAATTTTTTATCTTTGGGATTGATGTAGTGTTTAAGCCACACAATCTTCATGCAAAATTGAAGTTTTAAGAATATATTTGAGACGGATGTAGTGTTTTATAAAGTTGGTTAAAAAATTGCTTTGAAAATTTAATTTAATTATTCTCATTATAAAAAAGAATTTTTCATAATTTTTTTTTAAATAATGAGAAAGTAATAAAATATTAATAGATAAATAAAATTATAATTGTTATGTAAAAAGTAATGCATATAGAAAGCAATACAAAGCAACTTTTTTAATTTTTTTTTATACCAAGCAAATTTTTTTGTGGAGAAAATTCATATACAATATAATTATAAGTTCTTACCGAATCAATAGTCCTTTGAAATACAACATTTAAAGGAAAATCTATGAGCCTTTGATTCGATCTATTGCAAAACAAAATCACTAAAAAGAAAAGCAAAAAAATAAAAGACAATAAAAAAGTCAAGGAAGGCCACAACCAAATCTAGTATGTGATTGACAGAAGTAGCCACCCATGCAAGTCTCCCAAAGCAATCAACAACACTCCCACGAGCAATCAGCACCAAAAATAAGCTTGCAAGAGGACACAATAAACCTCTGTAGAATAAGAGCAATTAATCAAAAATGCCAAGAAGACCAAAAGGACCAACAACTCTAGGACAAATAGAGGAAGAAGAAGACAGTAGATAAGGGGTTTAAATAGGCAACCATACCAAACACCCACGGACAGAGATCACAAAAGCCACCTTCCAGCCATCATCCCACAAATGGTTCAAAGAGAACCCAACAAGGCAACCACACATAAGGACATGTTCATAACCAACAAACACAACCAAGAAGACAGAGCAGACGAAAACGGACCAACAACAAAGGAAAAGAGCCAAACTATTTCCTTTTTGGCTTCCTTTTACGAAGTTTGCCACCACCCAAAGCAAAAGCGTTTTCAACTATGTGGTTGATATTCAAACTATACATTGCTTGATCATCATCGTTAGGCCCATCCAAGTTGGTTCCTTCATCCCGCAGGGTGAGGAAAGAGAGTCATCAAGCCAATCATTTTGATCCAAACAATTATTCTCCATATTACCTGCTAATTGAGCATTAAAATCATTAGCGCTGACTAGATAATGACGGTATTAACCATAGCCGTCGGATCGTCAATGGGACGGATGCTGTCAAAGCAAATCCAAAACCACGGGATTTAATTCGAACGGTTGATTAAGAACAATGAATCAGATTTTTTCTTCAACCTCCTGCTGGATTCCATAGCCGTGAAGCTTCTCCAGCATGATCCAAGCAATCCCGCAGATGAACTTCCACAAAATTTTATGGAGAGGATCAGGACAGTAGGGACTTTCAATCCAATGGTAGGATTGCGTTGGATTGAATGTTCCTTTCACACTTGACTAGACTACCTATCTAGGGAGCTTGGGAGAAGATGCATAATGTTGAGAATGCCCTAACAAATGGGTTTTTCTTGTGGGAAGCTTGAGAGGATAAAGGTGAACAATTCTCTTTTAGATGTCAAAGCTAGAGGACCACTGGAGGTATGAGTTCGAGCGAGAGGCAAAGAGCTTTGGCTGGAGTTTGCTCGGGATGATGGTTGAGAACGGCTAAGAAGATGGGGAATGCTATGGGATTACTCAGGGAGCTATGGGAAGGCTTTTCGAAACGTTAGAATGGAATCATGTGCTCTAGTTGAGGGAGCCCTACTCAAGTGATCTCCGTAAGCGTGGATGGTTGAGATTGATCAGGGCGACCGTTGGATGTTCTCTAAGTGGAGGGGGACATCATCCTAGAGCCTCATGAGCTTAAGCCCAACGAATTCAGGCTTTGTAAGTCTTTGGGGAGAGTTCGAGGATGGGGGGGACCACCGAAAGCTTCTCCCATTTACTTCGGCCACTGCGACCACTAGCTTGGTCATGGTGATCCAAAAAGGTTCCTGGGGTCTGGCGAGCTCGAGGGTGAGCTCAATTGGGCATGTGAGAGCCCAATTGCATGGATGGGCTCGGGTTGACCCAAACCTGCATGGTTTGGGTTGATTTGAGCTCAACCTAGGTCAAACCAGGTCATGGGGTTAAGGTAGGAGATGGGTTGAGTTAAGGACTATCCAATGCAAATGGAAATTCAGCTTGATAGGGTCTATGGTGGGAAATGGCTCGGGTCAAGCTGGTTTTAACCACTTTGGGCTAGCCTAGAGGTTGAACCAAGTCAGCCCAAGGGTGGGGCTGACTAGGGTGGGTGCCTTGGGTCTAGGGCCACCCAATGGAAGGGTTGGTTGAGTTTAATTGAGCTTAGGTTGAGAAATGGCTCAACCTAAGATGGTTTTGACTGAATCAAAATCGCCCTCATTTGGGGAATGGTTTCTCTTTCCATCTTTGGCTAGTCACTTATGTGCTATAGTAGCAGCAAAAATAATGATGATATTGAGCTCTGTATGGTGAATATCAGGATGCGACATTTGCCCAAGGGTTGGGTCAACTATAAAAGGTGTATTGGGTCAAAGGGAACCCAATGCCACTATTAGTTTGATCCAATTAAGCTAGGGTTGGAACTTGGCTCAAGGGGAACCCCCCTTTGGACACTTGGGTCAAGCCAAATGGCTGACACAAGTGGAACCAAGGATTAGGTATTCAAGAGGGGTCTCTTGAAGACCCAATGGGTCACTCTATGGGTTTAAATGGGTTTGAAAAGATCTTGGTCAAAGGATTTGAGAAAGTGGGAATGTATGGAAGGTTTGGTCAACCTTGGTTGACTTGGACAATCAAGTTGACCTAGGGTCAAGGGTTGGGTCCATTGAGTTCAATTTGATCATGCGAACTCAATGGAAGAGGCCTCAAGCCAAGAGAAGGTCATTTGGTTGGAAATGGGTGTTTAAACCCTTAAGGCCCACTTTGGTCAACTAGTCAACCATGGTTGACTTGGTCAACTAGGTCAAACCAAAGTGTGGGTTTGTGTCCAATGTGTTTCTAATGATATTTAGGATCCATTGGAATAGGTTTTGAAAATTGGTATGGGAAGGTGATATTGAATTTAAGGGGAAAAACCAAAACCCCTTTAAAGAGCATTTTGATTATTTTGACCCCTGCTCAACACTGGGTCAAACTAAGTCTAGCAAAGTGTAGGTTTTTTTTCAGAAAGTCATAACAAAGGTCATGGATGTGGTTGGAAGGTTTGGAAGGAATCCCAAGATTAAATTCCACTAAATGACAAGTCTAGTGGCATAGACTATAACTATTTAAAAGTTTTATAGCTTTTGAAAATCAATCCAACTTATTGGGTTAGAGACCTCACAATGTGTTCAACTTTAGTGGGTTGATCTTAGAGACATATATAAGCAAGATGCAATTCATATACCCCAGATCAGAGGTTATTTGACTTGGTTTCCAGGTGACAGAAAATTCACCTAGAAAGGGTTTCAGGACAAGGCCCTTAACCCTAGGATTTGGCTTAAAATGTTGGATTTGGATTGGATTTTGGAGTTGACTAGTTGAGTTTGGATTATATATATCAATGACAACCAAATGAATGATAGAGATTGATTGAATATGATTTCAAAGTTGATTAAAAGTTAGTTGAAAGTTAGTATGGAAATTGGATTGAGGGGTGGAATTGGATTTGATTAGACTTGGATTTGTTTTTTGACTAGGACCTATATGGCTGAAAAGTAGACAACTTCCAGTCATTAGGTCACTAGCAAGAAATTTAAAGTGGGTCCTAGTGACCTAATACAAAGATGAGGTCAACACACATGATATATTGAGCATGTGATTATGATACTAATATGATATTGACACTAATATAGACTAAGAGATAGTATGTGTACATCATTATAAGATTTTATTATTTTGATCTTAGTTTGATAGTTCTTTAGCCAATGCTTATTTTACCTATTTATACGATTACTTTACTTATTGATAGTACTGATACGACGACTGCTTTATTGATATGATACCAATAATAGTTTATTGATTTCCACACTATACTATTTTACTGGCTTTCACACCATATTATTTTACTTTTTATATATTTTATTGATACTACATGTGAGTGTTAGTGTTTAAGCACTGATTCCTAATCATGCGACTGTTACTATTATGAATTGACTGATTACATGTATATTACTTCTTTACCGTGATTTGAATTCAGTGATGAGATTTTAGTTGTATACTGAGTTATTTAGCTCATTATATGTGATTTAAATGATTTTCGATTAGTGTAGAGGATCAAGTGTGTAAGATTGATCAAATAAGGATTCTCCAATTTTTGTGTTAATTTATTTCTTTCTATAATTTAGTTATTCTTTTGTACTTATTACTAATGATGATTGTTTGTAATTATATGATTCATGAATATTATATATAAGTTTCATGTTAATAAATATAGGCGCATATGAATATTTTGATCAATTGAATTTATTTTTGCTTATATATGATTTTATTACTGATAAATAAAAATATATTTCTCTGGTTGTTGTTTAATAAAAGATAAAAGAATGAATTCTTTCAAATTAGATTCTAGGGCATGACATAGCCTATAATTGATGATTGAATTATGCTAACAGATGAAGGGTGGAGATTCTTAAATGATTATTAAAAATCACCTTTGAATTGACTTATAATAATGAATAATGATGGTAAGATAAATACCGATAACCAATTGGTCAACTGTTGAGGTTAAATTAAAAATTGATGACCAACTGGGCGATAATTGGGGTGGAAGGATGAACATACTATATTAAAATTGGATGTTCTATCTTGCTCTTTATAATTGTATTCATGATTGCATTTACATGATAATGTATTAAACTGATAGATAGATAGACTGATATAGTATAATGATAGACTATTATATATGACATAATGATTGATATAAGCATATAGTAGAACCATCAATATGAAACAAATAATTAATTGATGTTATTTCACTATAACCTATGTTATAGATTTAAAGACTTTTTACTAGTCATATTAATGTATACTGCTTGTTGATTGATATTGACTAGAATTGGAGCATATTGATTCTTCTACCTTGCATTGAAGGCATCTGTGAGTTTTGGTTACTTGTTAGGCTTTGTAAGCTTATTATGTGATTTTGCATTATTTTAGGTAAAGATAAAGAACTCACAATTTGAGGTTTACCAATGATGATGTTTAGATTTATTTTAAGTGCATTGGTTAGATGTATTCTTTTTGCAACTTATAGTGACTATTGTACATATTATTTTAGACTATAGTTGTAGAATATACATATTGATTATAGAAATGTGATGATGTTTTTCCCGCTATTTATTTATTTATTTTTAATCTAATTAATCAGTTCTGAATGTCAAATTAATGTGATTGTAAATGAATAATTATTGATTGTTAATTGAAAAAAAAAAAAGTAGAAAAGATAATAAAGAGAAAATAAAAAAATTTCTTTCACTTTAGATCTTGGGGTGTTACAATCTAAATATGTGGGGTTGGCTACATGAATTCTTTGTCTTCATTGTGTCATATTAAGAGTCAACACATTTAAATCTAATAAAAATATTATTTCTAATACTTTCTAACCAAGTCTTTTTAGGTCTACCTATATTTTCTTAATAAAGAAAGAATATTACTAAGCGAGTCATTGGAAGGCCAACTTACTCCAACCTTTTCACATATATACTCCTTTCACATTCTTTCTCTAAGGGGCTATTTGGTTGGAAGTAAAGTGGGTGAAAAGTTTTCCAAATGTAGGGATTTTGAATATATTGGTGTTTGGTTGGATGAAAAAGGAATGCAAAGTAAATGCAATGTAAATCATTTTAGTTCATTTTTGGGGTAATCTAAACTCGCCCAATTTTAAGCGAGAACTATTTACACCGAAACTCGCTTGACTTCCACCACCATCACTTGTCAGTCACCACCCGTCGCCACCGCCGTTGCCACCACTAGTCGCGACCACCACCACACAATGTCGGTTGCCTAAACTGGCAGCCGACCACTACTGCTGCTGTCGCCGACCACCACCACCATTGGTCGTCACCACCCGTCGTCGCCTCCACCCGCCACCTGTAGCCGCTAGCCACCACCGCCGTCGGCCACTGCCACCCCCGACCACCACTAGCGCAGCTGTCGGCCACCACAATCTTTAGACTTTACACAGCATTCATTTTACTTTAAAAAAAAAAAACAATCACTTGTATTTACTTTGCGCTTATCCAAATAGTTCTAAAGTATTCATTTATATTACACTGCATTTCCTTTTTAGCCAACCAAACAACCCTAAATGTTAAACCACTCATTCATTTAAGAGCATCATCATCTTTGCAATACTTAATTTTATGCTTCTCTTTTAATGGCCAAAGGTAATCTATTTTAAATTTTTAAAAAATTTAACTTAGGTAGTTCTTATAGTTTGATGAATGCTCCATATCTTACTTACAACAGTGAATATTGAGTATATGTAATACAACCCTTTATATAACATGATTTCACAGAAAAATCTCCATTTGATTACTCATGATCATACATAATTTCCTAGGGACCAATGTGTTATATATATATATATATATATATATAAGTTTTGAAAATGTTCAAAATAGATAAAACAAAATATTCTGCTTCTAACAACAGGGGAATTTTATCAATCAGTTTTTAAACCAAAATTGCAGCGAATCTCAATCAAATCAAACATGTAATAACGAGAAAGAAATCCCCAAATTAAGTTTGCTTGGAATTATAAGCACTCTTTGAATGAAGGATAATTCAAAAGAAATTTCGTGTAAAGAACAACAACAGCAAAATGCATGATTTCCCTGTTGCTTTAATGGTGAGCATCTTCTTCCTCGCAAAACTTGGTGTATTCTCCAGAATCCATCAAACCTTCCAGCTCGGAAAGGCTGCTCGGTCGAATCTTAATCATCCATCCATCTCCATACGGACTCGAATTGATCTACAAGACCAGTAAAACAATCTCCTTTTTTCATCAGAAGATAATCAACTCCATCGCTTAAGTTAATGTGGTTGAATAATTTACCAGGCCAGGAGCTTCCGTGAGCTTACTGTTGACCTCCACCACTTGGCCTGAAATGGGAGAGTTCACATCGCTGGTGGCTTTGACGCTCTCCACTGCGCCAAAGCTTCCGCCTTTCGCTACCGTGCTGCCGGATTCCGGCAGCTCGACGAACACAACTTCTCCTAAATGGCCCTGCAAGCCATTGAAGTGCAGAACCTTTCTACCTTGATTAGCTTAACAAGCTGTAGCAATGGAACTTATTTATCTGTTTATATGAAAGAGCAGTATACACCTGAGCATGGTCAGTGATGCCAATAGTGGCAACTGAGCCTTCATGTTTGATCCATTCATGAGAAGAGCTGTACTTCAAACCATCCAAAACTGCCGAATTGAAGAATTTGTGTTAATTTCAAGCTTAATTAACTAAAGTTTAGTTCTTGAGAAGTTCATATTACCAGTAGAGAAACATCTGGAGACGGAGAAGGTGAGAGAAGGGGTGGCTCTGGTTCTATTGGCGCAGGAGATCTTAAGCGCCTTGGCTGTTGAAGAAGCCCACAGCTTCATGGCCATTTATTTTTGCTTTATTTGCTTTGAATTACTTGAAATGGAGTGGAGAGGATGGTGAAGAGTGGTTCTTTGTAATTGGTGTTATCTTTGCGGATGAGCGTTTGGTGGATATCGATGGTCTCATCTTCTATAATATTAATAAACCAAGCGGTCGGGACTCGGGTGCCTTGGGTCATTTTCCTCGGTTTTTTAGCTAGTTATTTTTCTATGAGAAATGCTTATTTATTTATTTATTTATTTTAGGTTTTTGTTGAAAAGTTTTATAGAATATGATGGAAAGTATTATCACACAATTAAATAAAAAATAAAAAATAATAGTGAATGAAAAGTTTAAAATCAGGAAAAAATCGGAGAACCACACGACAATCAGAAATCAACTATGAAATTATACGGAACTCTCTTCTCACAATCTCTCTTCGTCTCTATTTTTTTTCGCACAATAATGTTTCTCATAATTTTGATCTGGATAAGTCATTCAGCTCACTTTTTATATAAATTGATCGTAATATGTATGAAAGCCTTCTTTTCAAAACTATAATGAAATGATTCTTTTTTTTATCAAATATAATGATAGAAAAAAAAATTGTACGATGATATTCAACATTTTTTTATCAATTTTATTTTAGCTTCACATTCAACAACCTCTTATTATTTATGTTTTGTTTTTTTTTTAATTTTACTATTTCATAATAAATGAAAAGAAAAAATAGGCAACAATAATCTTTGTAGTTCTTGGGAGTAATTCAAATTTGGATGCAAGGAATTACTCTAAAATTTGATTAATATGAATCTTAAAGTCTTTAGATTAC